AGAAAGCCCCGAGGTGGAACCACTCCTAAGTGGGTGTAGACCTCAGGATGACGGATGTGAAGGAGCATCTTGCATATTTCCTGTTAAGAACAAAAGAAATCTCCATTTAAATTGAAGAAATTAGTATTTGCTATGCTTATAGACAGGGCTAAATAAAACAAGTTCTGTTAAACAATCTGAATTCAATGACTGCTTACAGAAAGATTAATTAGAGAAAAGCCAACAACCTTGCCTGTTGGTATAAGCAGCTTTACTCAGTGCCATGCAGATGCATACTCATGCCATTGCAGAACTCTGCAGTATTTCTTGTCATTTTTCATGACACATTTTATTCAGTGCATCCTGTAGCCCACCAACAGAATTTTAACTAACCTTTAATGTTTCATCATTGCCTCCTACATCCTCAAACTTCACTGAAGGGTGGTAAAGCTCTGACCCCTTATTTCTCACTGTTAAAGAAGAGAAGACACAAATTTAGCCATGGCGTAAATGTATTTGCTAATACTGAACAAAACGTACTCAGCCTAAACAAACAGCCAAGCACACAGTGTAATATTATTTTATAGTAGTAGACACAGGATTGCAGTATTATTTTAGTACAACATTAAGGCTAAATTTCTCTTAAAAACTGCCTGGGGTCACTTCTCTGCACATCAGAAAATACTTCTCTGGTAACAGATTACAAGATCTAATACTATCTCTTTGTTTGGAGTAACATACCAAAAATAGCTTCTCACCTTTCTTAAGTAACATGGATTCAATTTCTCTATCTACATCTGGAAATTCTCCTTTTTTCCTTTTTGCTCTCCTGCCCTTTGTCTTCTTTCTTTCACTTTCCAAGACAGAAAATTCTGTTGGTTTCTAGGACATAAAACCAGAATTATACACACAAAACCTTCCAAGTCAGTGAACTTCTGCAAAAACTTAAAACTAACAAAATGGGTGTCTATGATGCTTAACTTACACAAATATAAAGACAAGAAAGGCAGGAACGTACACCTTTTTGCAGGAACTCTTTTACTTAGGATTTGCCTTATTTTTAAATGGGTCAATTACAACAGTCACTTTTTTCGTTAAGACAACAGAGCAAAAAAACCAAACAAACCCCCTCAAAACTACTAACCAAAATCAGACACCAGTTATTTACATGCCATGGAGGAATCCACTTTGGGCATGAATGCAACCATACAAATGTATTTATTCCACTGGAAACAAGTTTTATTTCTAGTAAGTCACAAGGAGGTGTAAGAAAATGTTATTCAGTGCTAACACAAGTTAAATGCATACAAGATAAGTACTATTACAGGATAAAAGAAATAAAAAGAAGTTTCCCCAGGGTCACTAAAACTTTACCATTGGCCACGGAAAAACACCTGCTGTGGCTGCAGCAAGCCACAGCCCAGGTAGTGGTCACCGGCAAATGCGATAAATAACAGCTATGTTCTACTCATCTTTCTCTCAGTATGGACACTAATCTGGGCCTCTTTGATACTGACAATTACATTTTCCTCAAAAAAATCTGGAAGAAATTCATTACTTGGTGACTTTCTACCTTCTGTACAAACATGCTTGAAATGGGCCTGTGGCAAGCACATTTCTCTCTCTCTCAGGATTTTTCATAAAGGTGCACAGAGAGAATTGAAAGAAAACTATCTGTATTTCTGCTCCTTGTTTTTCTCATGTGGAATGTGTTTGGAGAATTGTTTACCTGGAATAGTTCCTTGATTGGATCAAGGTGGATTGTTTGGGCCTCATGGCCAATTCAATCCACCTGTGTCTGGACTCTTGCGAGAGGGTCACCAATTGTGAGTTAGAGATATAGTTAGAACAAGTAAGTTTATAGTTTTTTGTATCTTCCTTTATATAGTATATTAATGTATTTTAACATAATTATAATAAAGAAATCATTCATCCTTCTGATTGAGTTAGACATCCTCATCTCTTCCCATCAGGTTTACCTACATTTACAACATGGGCCAATTCTATTTATGCATCTACTTAGAACACCTCGGGTTTGTGAAACACAAAGTACCTCAGAAATCTCTTTCTTCTCCTCTCCTTCTCCATCCTCAGAAAGGTCAATGAAGAAGTCTTTCCCATCAGGAGTTTTATCAATGTACCAGCCACCATCAGAGATTCGTCTTTCACCTCTGGATTCTGGTGCGAGGCTGCTCGTGTGAGGTGCTGTTCTCACACGAGGAGAGGTCTCCACTGGGTCATTTTTTGGAGTGGATGGAACAGAATCAGGATTTCCCTTCTTGTATAAGCTCAGCAGGGAACTGTTCATGTGATTTGCAGACTGCAGATTTACACATTTGTAAAGAAAATACACAAGGTTTTAACTAGGATTATTTATATTTAGAGGTCAATGGAAACTATTTAATAAACATAATTTAGCATTATCCCCTGCTGGAGAAAATAGATAATGCATCTTCCAACCCACTCCTCTGCAAACCAAATGACTGCATATAAACCTGCATGTGTTGGCTGAAGGAGCAGCAGCCTTTGCAATCTACCCTGGAATGACTCCTGTTAATGAGCAGGCACCTCTTTTGGCAGTAGTTGGAGATGTCAGTTCACCCATTTGATAGCCAAGTCCTTCAGGTTCTCAGTGTGCCTTCCCAAAAGTGATTCCCCAACACAAATTCCTCTTTTTCCTTCAGGAAGCCTTCTTCCAGCTCCACAGATTCTCAGTTGGAATTGCTAACTCTGACTAGACCTTACCTCTATCTCCCTTTTCAAACCCTTCAAGTGCAATTTCACAACATAGAATCATATATTATACACCTACAAACAATCATAATAAAATACAACTTACTAGATCTTCTGGATAATCATCATAGTCAGAGTCATCTGTGCCACTTCCAGTAGTGCTTAACAGGGAAGGAAGACAAAAACTATTAATTTATCAGAGCAGAAATGCAAGTGAGACACCTGTAAAATAAAACAAAAGTGATTTATACAATGTGGTTCCCCATAATCATGGTGTATATGGTGTATGGTATATGACGCCTAATTTCTCTCCAGCCTAATGCTGGGAGAAATTCCTGTCTCCCATGCTTTCAATCTTCTAGCATTAAAAGTTAAAACTTAGATATTTTCCAAGTGTATGATGAGTTGGATCAACTTGCCAACCTGTCTGAAAGACTGACCTATATAAAAGTGATGTAGAGTTCACTCTGATTCAGTTCACCAAGGAAAATAGGAGCAAATCACTGCTGAACCAGAACAATCCTTCTGACAACAGTGTCCTACTTCCCCACAAGATCCTTAATATCTATTCCAGGTTAGAGAAAACACAGCACTCCGTGAGATTATGGACAGAGTTAGGAGTCAGGAAATCATTCCAATCTCACACCCACTGGTGATTTACTCTGAACAGCCTGTCTGGCAGTCTCATCTCTCAGACGTGGCCAGTATCTCTCACACCCAAGAACGATTAAGAACAAAACAAAGGAACTGAAACAAAGGGCATTATGTGGAAAACTATCAAGGAAGCCATAAGGTTGTCCACTAATTCAGGGCTGTATGTTCCCCACAGCAGAGAAATCATAATTGGCTTTGATATCTGCTTGTCTTCAGCACCAAAAAAGTTTCCAATAACTATAGGTAACTTCTGAAGAACACAAGCCTATGGGATCCACCTGCAGCCTCGAAGCAATCAAAATATAATAAACCAAACCCAGAAAGCTTTAAAGAAACAGTAATAGCAATGACATTATTAATCTAGTGGTAAAAATTCTTCTTACTCATTTTTTTCTTGTTGTCTTGCTCTTTTTGCCACATGTTCAGATTCTAAAACTGCCAAATCTTCACGTTCTTTCTCATTACTGATTATTTCAAACACTGCAAGAAAAAGTTCAACCATGTTAAGAATTAACAGCCAAAGCACAATCAAAGAATTTGAAATCTTGGACACAATATTAACAAATCTACCTTTTGCAACTTGTATCCTAAAGGCATTTCTTTTTCTTCGTCCATAATCTACACTGAAAAAAACCAAAATAAACAGATTGCACCAAATCATTTTTCCTTCAACATAATGTCATTCCTAGTGGAAAAGGTACATGGGAAGTTGATTCTCAAGCTTCCACCCAGGTTCTTATTAAAAACTACCTGGGCAAAAACGTCATCAGCCTGCTGAGCAACCAGGCAAGGTATTAATTAGTGTCTTACTGGATCCTCTATTCCTCCCCCATGTCTCCACTGAGGTGTCATTTTCTCTCACATTTTAAACTTACTGGGGTAAACCCCAACATGCTGCAACTAATCTGCAGCTTTTTATTTAAAACAAACAAAAAAATCATCCCATAAAAAACACAAACCACAGCTAGATCTTATAATGCCAATGCATTAATAAAATATGGGTCATTAATATATAAACAGAAGGAAATAATCTCATTGTTTCAATCAACCTCAACAACTGCTAATGAAGGTATCATAAAAGAAAATTATAACTTTCATAATGAATGTAATGGAACAGACTAATATATTCTACATTTTGAACACAGGATACAAGAAGACAAAACTTGGCTCACCTGTAGGTTTTCTGCAAATCAGATGCTAGAATTCCAATGTCAACATACTCCCCACATTTACTACTTGCAAGATACTGAAATGAAGAATTTTAAGCAGGGAATAAAATCTTTGTCAATCACTTCACCAGAACAGCTCTACCAAATATACCTATTTTAAATTCTTCCCTCCTTAGAAAT